TGGTTTTGGACGGACTTTATATATATGTTTATGGTACCATGAGATAAGCTTGAGTCTCAGATTCATTGGTTAGGGTGCGTATATGCAGTGGATGCGTAGCTGGTTATAATAGGTTGAGGTGTACCCTGTTAGGTCTAGGTACTCATGTCCACTTTTGGGTGCGTTTTCGCATGTTGCCTTCTATTCAGGTTGAGACCCCCATTATAGACCAGTGAATGTTTCTTAGTGTGGATATATTTATATGTATGGACTAGATAGATATTGTAAGGTGTCTACGGTGTATCTGCGTATCGGGTCATTGTATGGATTGCAGTTAGATTAGGACTTGCTCGTGGGTCTGACCCACTCCTTTATTATTCTTGTCAGGTATCGGACGGTTCCAGCATTAGAGCTTGATCTTGCTTGTCGAGGACAATCTCACATTCATCTATATATGTAGGACTTCTCTTGAAGATTCCAGTTTAATTTTTTCTCAGTTTCAGTTCAGTTGAGATTTTCTTTAGGGGTCTATTAGTTGGATTCCCAAATTGTAACCTTGAAGGTTTTGGAGGATTGAGTTGATATTTTTATCGTTGGAGGATTTTATTTATATTTCTTTTGGTTTTCTTTATTTAAATTCCTAAATTTTTATTCTGTGTTCAATTTAAAATACTTAAATTGTTTGATATTCCCTCGGGTTTGGGCCTAGGCCTGATCAACCCGTGTCTCGGAACCGAGGGGTATCACATTTCATGTTATAAGTTTAAATTGATTATGTGGCTTATAATTATTTGTTTAACTTGATTTATTTGTTTTAAGTGAATTGTGTGCTTATGTGAAAATTAAATGTTAAATTAATTGATTTATCTGTTTAGTTAAAATTTTGTATTTATATGGACTTAAAGTAAATGTTAAATTAAATGTTTATTTCTATTTTTATTTTTCATGGAGTTGGGCATAGACAGTAGTGATAAACTAACCGTTTAGATCTCATGGACTATTTTGATAAGAGGGTAATTGGTACAGTTAATACCCATGGATGGTTATACATATATATATGGGTATATATGTACTAAGGGTTAGTTTAATTATTAATTATTATTAATGATTAAATTAATATTATTATTCATTATATATGTATAATATAGTTTTAGGGTTTTATTTACTTTTATGAAATCACGTGGGATAGTCGACTTATATAAATATTTATTTTATATTGTATTATATTTTAATTTTTCTTTCCATCGAACATAAGGTGTAAGTAGGATTAGAATTAGGTTTTGAATAAGCTTATATATATTAATGTTTTGTCTGCCAAGGGTTTAGAACCCTAGTCACGTATCAGTGGAGGCAGGGTAAAATACAGAGAGGTTTGAGAGAAACTGAGAAGATCAGTTGGGGTTTTGGCCGTAAATTGAAGGTTGGACCAAGGAGGAAGGAAGAGGGTCTGCTTGTGGATTCGAACCAGAGCAGTAGGAGGCTTGACGACAATCAGAGGTCGTCGGAAAGTCTAGGCAGAGGACAGTTAAATGTTTCAAACTGAAACCTTAAGAGGCAAGTTCTATTTCTTGCTCCTTCCCTTCGACTTGTATTCTGTGCATGCCTAGGTAGTCTCCAGGAATTTATTTGAATGTTAAATTAATTTTCTATATGTGTTTAATTTGATCTGGAACAATTCTTGATAATTTAAATTACATTGTCTAATCTTGAAGCATGTAGAATCGTTAATTGTTTTCATTGTTGTTAATAATGCAAACTGTTTTATATAAATTGTTGGGATGCTACTGGATACGGTTTAGACTCTTAGGTTCAGTATCAATGAAGAACAGAAAGTTGGAAGTGGTCGTAGATGAGGCAGAAGGAGCAGAACAGAAGGAAACGGGTTTAAGGCTCTCAGAAGGGGAGAGAGTCGACTCCATGGAAGTGGGAGCCGGCTCCCTCTTATGAAGAGCCGGCTCCAGGTGATGGGGAGCCGTCTCTCCCTTGTATAGAGCCGGCTCCATGGGTGGATAGAGTCTGCTCTCAAGTTTTGGGAGCAAACTCTCTTGTTTTAGTGCATTATGGAAGTAGTTAGGCACTGTTTGGATGATTTTGGTTTCCTGAACTATTTTGGGATATTAATGCGGGTTCTAAATATTAATTTCATGTGATATTAAAACCTCATATTGCATAATTTATACCTTTATGCTAATGGATTGAACAGTATGAAAGTTTAAACAATTTTGCATACTGTTAAAGGATATAAGGGATTTAATTGCTTAATTTTATTTTAGCAATTTAACGGACTGTAGCATGATTTAAAACCTTTTTTGGATGCATAATAGGGTCATATACTTATTAGATCTTATTATGCTTATTCTGGATGTTAATTAAAGAAATATTAAATTCTGTTCTGTCAATTACGTGAATGTTATTTTGGATTTTAATTGTGGAACCATTAAATTTTGTTCTGTTAATTACATGGATGTTATTCTGGATTTTAATTGTCAATTACATGGATATTGTGGATTGTATACACCGGTATGGGACGGTGGCATTTTAGGGACGGATTAGTTCAAAATACTAAGTCCTACCTACTCTGGAATAAGGGAATGGATTATAAAATTAAATCCTACTTATATTTAAGTCAGATCAGCTAAACAAGTTGAATGACTAACTGGATTACTTGCTACTTATATTTAAGTCAGATCAACTGAACAAGTTGAATAACTAACTGGGTTACTTATTACTTATATTAAGTCAAATCAACTGACCAAGTTGAATGACTAACGAGATTTCTTATGGATGAATATGATAGGATTTATATATATATGATTATAGTACCACGATATGAGCTTGGGTCTTAGGATCGATGGTTAAGGAGCATATATGCATTGGGATGCATAACTGGTTATAATGGTAGAGGTATACCCTGTTAGGTCTAGGTACTCATGCCCACCTCAGGTGCGTTTTGCATGTTGCCTTCTATTTAGGTTGAGACCCCTTTTGTAGTCCAGTGAGAGTCCCTTAGTGTGGATATATATATGTATGGACTAGATAGATATTGTTGAGTTATCTATGATGTATCTGCGTATCAGGTCTATGTTTGGATTGTAGTTAAAATAGAACTTGTTTGTGGGCCTGACCCACCATCATTTTTCAGGTATTCGTCAAGAGTAGGGATTGTTCGTGCTGAGCAGGGATCATCTTCTTCACTCGTCCGGATCGCGTTACTTAGGGGTTCATTTATGTTTTAGTTTTCTGATGTAGACAATTATAGCTGTTATTTATTTAGTTTTGGTTTTCCAGGGGTCCACAGAGTACGGATTCCCGGGTTGTATAAATTGGAGGATTACTTGTATCAGAGGAATTTGTTAATGAAAATTTATTCTGAGGTTTTATTAAAGGATTGTCATTTTAGTTTTCTTTTAGTCATTTATTTATTCCTGTTATCTATTTTGTACTCTGTGTTCAATTATTGTCATTTGTTTTGATATCCTCAGGTATTCAGGCGTGGGCCTAGCCAACCCGTATATGAAAATCCGTGGGTATCACGGGAGGGAACCCAAGTAGACCCAAAGTAGTCAACACAAAATCCCACCCAAGTGAGTCAAAAGCATTTCTCAAGTCAATCTTCATTGCACATCCAGAGGGAGAGAGGTTCCTATGATAACTTTGTAGAAGCTCCTGTGCAAGAAACACGGTCCCCAATATGTCTACCCTTCACAAAAGCATTTTGGCAAGGGTCAGTGATGGAGGGGAGGACTTGTTTTAGCTTATTGGCCAAGAGCTTAGCAATACATTTATAGATAGTATTGCAGCAAGAGATGGGTTGAAAATAATTAAGGGATGAGGGATTAGGGATTTTCGGGACAAGTACAATATAGGAGTGGTTGACCTCTCTGAGTAATCTTCCACTGACAAAGAAGTTCCTAACAGCACTAGTCACATCCCTACCAATTACAGGCCAAGCCATTTGATAAAAGTGAGCGTTGTAGCCATTTAGTCCTGGAGACTTATCTTTGCCAAAAGAGAAGAAACATACTTGGATCTCAGTGTCACTAGGAATTGTACAGAGCATTGGTAGAAATGTGGATGGGACTGTTTTAGTTATGAAAGGCTGCAGTGCATCTGAGCCAGGAAAAAAAGGTGGAAAGCTGCCTAATAAATTGTGGAAGTGTGCCACTGCCTCAGTAATCACAAGGTGCTCAGTTTCAATGGTGTCCCCATTAGCTGAGGTGAGACATGTTATTTTCTTCTTGTTGAGCTTGGAATTATAGACCTTGAAGAAAAAGCTTGTGTTACTATCTCCTTCATTCAGCCAACGGACCTTTACTTTTTGCTTGATGAAGTGTTCCTCAACAAGTGCAGAACTAGAGAGCTGAGCAATTAGATGTTTTTCCTGCTGCTTCAATTGTGTATCTCTAGGATTAGAATCAAGAAGTAGCTGGCAAGAAGCAAGAGCTTGTCTTGAGTGAGCCACCATTGTTGAGAACTGAGAGATCTCCATTCTGCATACCTGCTTTAAAGTCCCCTTGAGAGATTTAAGCTTCTGTATGACCTGAAACATTACATTTCCAGTAATAGGAGTGGACCAAACTTGCTCCACTGTAGAGAAAAACAAAGGATTAGTAGCCCATGCATTGATGCACCAGTGAGGCAGTGATATATGAATATGATTGATGGGGTTGTGTTTGGTGGGAGATGAAATCAGAGGGAGAGTGTGAATTTTAGAAAGAGAAACAAATGGGGTAATTTTGTCTTTTAAGTTTGATGATATTTTGGATTACAATGGATTTTTAAAATGGGGTAAAATTGTCATTTGACACATTTTTAACGGTAAAAGTGATCGAAAAATCATTTAGGGTCTAAGTGATATTAATAATCTCTTCATTTTTTTTTTATTGTTCTTAGCTTACACAGGAAGAAAGCAATCCACAAACTTTAAAGAGAGGTCCAATAATTAAGCTATCTTTTCCAAAGCAAAAAGGTGTTAAGATAGAAAGGAAGTAAGAAAAAACATATTGTTCTCACTCCAAACTTGTACACAAAGAAAAGAAATACTACTAGTATGGTTGAATACTTTAACGAGTATATTATATGGTATATACTTATTAAAAATGCCCATTCCAGTTCAACGGCTATTACACTCCGAAAGCTAAAAATTCGCAGTATGGCTTGCGTCTAAATCTTAAATCCGCGACAATTGCAACGGTCAGTTTAAAACTCGTGGTTGAATCGGACAAAATGACCGAGTCACCGACTCAGTCCCCTCCACCTCACCACACAACTACCGCCCACGACGACGACGAAACCGTCCCTCAGATCCCAATAGAGATCGTGAGCGAAGAAGTGATGGCTCTATACGAAGCTGCCTTTGCGGCCACTGGCTCTTCTCTCTCATCATCAACATCTTCTTCCTCTACGATGCTCTCTTCGTCCTCTCTCTTCTCTCCGACCCTGTTTCAGAGAAATGCGAGGTCGATCCAATCCATTACTCTGCTCTCCAAACGGAGGTTGTCTGATTGTAAAGGGACTACTAGTTTGGTTGGTGACATTGAGGACTTGGGTGGTGGTTCTAGGGGTGTCCCCGTCCCCAAGTCGTTGCTACATCAGTTCCGGAGGAAAAGAGGGTTGGCCGTCACTGACATCACTAAAACGGTATTAATTTTTCAATTAATTAATTTTACTGATAAATTGATACATGTTGTTTTAATTTGGGTTTTCGGAACTGGGTTTGTGTTCTTGTAGAATATGATCTTTTAATTCTGCTTGATTTTGTGAAGAAGAAGAAGAAAAAATTGTTTTTTCTGGTTGTTGGTTGTGTCGTGTGATTTTTTTTGGGACTTGTGTAATGGGCTTCATTTTTTTTTTTTTTTGAGCTAGACTTGGGCTATTATGTTTTCGAAAATATAAACTTTATTGAAAGCATCACAAGTTTCCTTCGAATTCCGTGTGCTGCACTGATTCGTAAATTCATTTAAGCGTAAAATATTTTTATTGTAAATTATTTTACATGTAAAATATTTTCAAGTGGTTGGTTAAATTCTGAAAAATATTTTTGTATGTAAAAGGTTTTACATATAAAATATTTTCAGAAAAAAACATTTTCCAATGTTTGGCTAAATTCTGAAAAATTCTTTTTTCTTTTAAAAAATGAAAATTTAAGTTAAATCAATGTAAGACGAGGAAAAAATGTTTTAGGATTTTTCTGTTTTAGCAAACATGACGTCTTTACTCATATCTCATTTTAGTTTTTGAGGTCTTTCCTGTGTGTGTTCTTGTATGTTCATTTTGACAAAAATTGATTTTTGTCTCTAGCCCATGTAAGAATGACTGAATGAAAATTGGAGTAGTCAAGTCATTCAGGGGACAAAAAAAAAAAAAAATTGTAGTAGTCTCATGGGCAGTAGTTTGTTTTGTTAGGTTTCACTATAAACTCCAAAACTGCTCAAGCTAACTATTGCAATGTTCATGCTTTGATTGTTGTACCTTCAATAATAAGAATGAATTTGAATTTTGATAGCATAGCAATAACCCGTTAACAATACAAAAATGTTTGTCTCATAATCTGAATTCTGACAACCGGATCCCCTTATGCTCCTTTGGCATATTCGTTGCCTAGCCCCATTGATGGACAACTTTTAATGCTGTATTTGGCAAAATTCAATCTCCTTTATTGATTTTCTCCTCATCCATTAACATATTCCGGGCCAGACCTACTTACATGGTTGGCACCCCTTTTACTTGAAAAACCATCTGTAACTGTGTTTAAATTTCAAGTTCTTAGTCAGATACTTGTCACAGCAGGGCTGCATTTACTAACAACCCTCAACACCAAACAGAATTATATGTTTTGGCAGTTTCAGACTCAAATTCAGTAGCATCTTTCCTTCAATGACTTCAATTCCTGCAGGACTTGAAAATTTGAATTTATAGCAGTCGTAAACTTGGTGATGGATTTGACCTTAATACTTTAACACCTTTCCTTGCATCACTTAATAATTCCTCAAGGCATCCTTACCCCTTCAATTTGTTTATGTCATTATGCTTTGTCTTAAAATATGTTTTTTTTTCCCTTCTATTGGAGTCTTTCTTAAACTTGAAACTTTAGGCATTCTCCGTCATGTAGGTACTTTCAGTTTAGTTCACGGAACTTGTAAAATTCATCTTATATTTATCCTTGTATGATGTCAATATTAGGAGTGGTGCGAAAAACAAATGGAGTTCTTTCTGAACTTTGGCAGGCCAAGAATTACTAAAGCAATAGAAGCAGGTAGGGCTCGTCATATACAGCTTGAAGAAGAGGTATACTTTTAAACTCTATATATCATTAAAATTCTGTTGTATGTGCCTGACTTTTTAACTATTTTTAAGGTCTATAGATCATTAAACTTGTTCTGTATGTGCATGCATTTTACCTACTATTGCCTTCCAGGGTATTGTCATAGCTTTTGGAATGGTTCCTTTGCTTCTTAATACTATGACTCGTTTATGAAAATTTTATCATCTTCCTGAAGTTAAACAAGCACTAAGCTAAGCTTGGTTTAGTTGTTCGCTACATCACCATTTATTTTGGTGAAATCGTGTTACTTATGTAATATTGGCCTAATAATATTTGCCTCTTACTTCCCAAAGGAAGGTCAGGAATTCAAATTTCAGAAAAGACAAGTGTGTGTGAGTACTAAAGGTGGCAATTTACGACACGACATGAGTTAAAAGGGTTTGGGTTTGGGTCATAAAAGGATCGACACGATTAACCCGTTTACTTAGCCGTGTCGGATTAGGGTTGAGGGGTTCAACCTGTGTAACCCGTTTTTGACTCATTTAATTCAACATGTTATAATCGTGAATATAACCTATGTAATATGTCACCTGTTTAAACCCAATTACTATGGATACTTATGTCATTTCAACATAAACCTTGTCTAAACCTTATGATTTTTCTTTTTATTTTGAATATTTGGGTTAATTATGACAATTTTTTTCTATTATTCAGTATTTGATTAAATATTAAATGTCTCGTTTTGATAAGCAGTCATTAAATGAGTTAACACATTTATCTGTTTAATAAACGGGTTGGGTTAGTGTTGAGGATTCTTGACACGATTATTAAATGGGTTGGGTTTGAATTTACATATTTAATATAATACCCTTACATCGACACGACACGAACACGACCCACAAACACGAAGTGCCACCCCTAGTGAGTACCAACTAGGAAAAAAAAAATTTTCTTCTTGCAAAAGTGATACTACTTTTCCAAGTGAATCTGTTGATGCAATTTTGTATTTTAAAGTCATGCTTCTAATAAATGAGCTCCATACATTTCCTGGGACAGGCAATCAAAGAGATGCTGTATTATGTTTGTTTCCAAATTTTTTTTTTTTTTTTTTCTTTACATCCTTTGAAATATTATTTTTCTCTCCTAATGGCAGGTTGTAAAAAGAATAAAAGTTTGTGTTGAGTCAAAAGAAGATGTATGGGCTGTAAAATTTATGAAGTTTATACTTGGTGCAAATCAATTATTGCTTGATGGATTAACACGCGAATTACCACTGTAAGTTGGTTATCGGGCTTTTAATATTCTTTTATCTTCAAGTTCCTCTTGTAGGCAATCTTTGTTACTGCATGCTAAGGATTAGGAACTGAATTGATTCATATTGTTGGGTTATATTACCCTGAACGTTGGGGCATGGAAAGTATAAGATGCTTATAAGAACAATAAAAGGGGTATGAGTCAAACTCTTACGTAACATATTGATCATTTATTCTGACATGGGTTTACTGCGTGTTGGTTTGTAATAAGCTTGGTTGTGATATTGTGCTAGTACTTTTATGTACTAAAGAAAAATATTTACCAACTTTACTTGTGGATTTTTACCTACAACTTATTCAAATGAGTCTGAAATACATTTGATCTATTCGGTACTGTTTTCTACTGTGCTCTTTTGGGTTACTTTTATAATAAAATTCTTTGGGAGAGAGTGAAAGAACTAAAGAGAAATTTATAAAATGGAACATCTTTCTTTCTATGAAGTGACAGAATTTTAGAACATAAACTGCTATAACTTTTTCCCTTTCTAAAATTTGATGAGAGAGAGATGATGTTTATATGTCTGTTTTCGGGCTTGCGGCTTCACTTTTTTCACTTGTTCTTGTTTCATCCCTCCCCCCTCCACTCTCTTGATTGGAATTGGGGCTTTCTTGTTCTTAACCAGAATCGGCTTTGTAAAAGGTGTATGGATGGTGGGAGTGATTGATGAAATCCGAATGCCTGTCACAGAAAACGAAAGAAATCCAATATTAGTAGAGACGAAAACTCGTGTGCAAGCGACAATTCCATCTGAACCACAGCGAAGAAATGGAAGGTAGGTTCTCATGGTTTCTGTTTTATTCCGTTGATAAGATATTGGTACTAATACGTAGGACTTTTTTCTAGAAACATAATTAGCCCTGTTCTCCTTTTAGCCAGGTATATTTTATTTGTCTGAGATAAAATGAGAATTTCATGAATTATGAAGTCAACATTTGTTTTGGCAGGCTTCAATTAATGTGCTACAAGTATTTGTGGGACAATTTGGTTTCTGATCACTTCCCCTCCAGGCAATTTTTTGAGTCCTTTACTTTGAACCCCCATTACATTTTATCCAAAGAAATCAGAGAGAACACTTCCAATTCAGGCTTTCCGGCAGAGGTAAAATTATCTCTTCATCCCAAATTGTCCATTTATGGATTTATGTTATTTCCTCCACGTGCATGTAAACAGATCCCTTCCATACAACACAAAACACACAATATGTATGTGTGTGTGTGGAAAGACGAAAAAAAAGATTTACCTTCTCCATTTATAGATATGTAGCCATTCCACATCATGCTTTTTACTCAGTTTATCCCATAAAGTCATGCTATATAGTTAGTATTGCCTTTGCAGACCCTTGATGATCTAGTGAGGTACTTCAGGAATACGTGGTGCATGTTGCCTCCTGCTCATGACCAGCTACTATTGAGGTGAGTACAAAGTTTAAGGGTAGAGATAATTCTTTTACTTATTCCCGCATTCCTCTTAACAGTTTTTGGGATTTCTGCATTGCTGGAATGCTTTCATGGCATACTAAGATATTGTGCATATAAGTTAGAACCCGTCTTTTTAAACATCGTCGTCCTCCTTGCCTTTATCCCGCACAAACGGGGTTAGCAAAATGTTTATGCATGTGTATTGTAATTAGAGTAGCTTTGGACATTTCAACTTTCAAGTAAGTAGCTCAAAAAGTTTTGTTGTAGCTTATTTCTTCAAAATCCACACTGATTTACAAGAACATTATTTGGTTTTGTCTGATAGATATGAATTCCAAGAAGATCAGTCATTGCTTGGCGAAGATCAGTTTGCTTATGATTCTGATTGGCTCAATGGTCAAATTCAGTGTTCTCTTGAGTTCTGGCAGGGAGAGCGAAAAGCCAATTACACACCTGAGGAGGAGCGTTGGAAATGCAAATTTTGTGAGTTTGCAGAAGTCTGTCCAGCAAATATCAGCCGCCACGATACACCAACTTAAAAAAAAAAAAACACATGTATTATTATAAACAAGCTTCTTTGTGGCATGTTCACTAACTGGATAGGTTAGCTAGTTGTGTAGGATCATGTATTGTTATTATTATTATTTATGTAACAAGCCTCTTTTGTAGACTTTGATGATTCATTGTTGTAAGAGTTTATCATTAACCATGAATTTTATTTTGTATGTAATTTTCAAGTAATAATATTAATTATGTTGCCTTCGCTCATGTATTTATTATATTTATGTTGTATAGGCTGTGAAATTCATTCTTCGGAAAAGAAAAAAGGAACCAAGGAGTATTAACTATAACTTTTTAAATTGTAACCTGAGCAATGTCTGGGATGCTTGTGATATTATATTATCTTTTGCATGCTACAAATTTCTTGCCATTGGGGTCTGATACATGAATTTTTTATTTCTATTTTTTCGCTTCTTTTTTTTTATTACAAGTTCTCTCTCCTATTTTCAGAATTATTCCTTTCAGAATTTGATACCAGTATACTACTTTCTATTCAAATTGCTTTATGTAACCATTATGATTTTATAATAAACTGTTTGTATAGTTTCTCTCCACATCCTCCTTTCCCCTATACTTTTTTCATACCAGTATCCTACTTTTTCTACCACTGAGGTTAGGAGTATTCTTTTCTCCAGTTTTATTTTTATTTTTTATTTTTTTATTTATTTTTTTTTTTTTCGAGATTCTGTGTTGAACTGATAGTTTGCTGCTCAAGTCAGTAAAGCATCATTCTGCATCATTTTTATAGAGATTTCAATTGAACTCAATAAAACTAAAGCATTCTTTTCTGCGAATAACAATCATGGTAACTTTGTACAATATAACACCAAACACAATAACACTTACCTTTATTTGAATTGACAATCTTTCTACCCTAAGCCGTGATGAATATAAATAAGAATTAGAATGTTCATATAAAGAAGACTGAAACCATCAAACCATGGAACAACGTTCACCACAGTTTTATGGATTTACTATTACCAAGCAATGCAAGTTAAACCATGATCCAGGAACGCAAAAAGGAAAGCAGTGAAAGTATTGTTGGAAAACATATGCTTAGTATGATATTTAAGACATAACAAACCTTATATTAATATGTCATTAGATAATTAATAATATGATAAAAAATAATTAATTAAAATAATTAATTAAATATGCAAATTAAAACAATAAATTAAAAAATAAAATAAAGAACCTGAACCGAGACTAGTATTGAATACTATGTTCTTAAGACAATTTACGCCCCGCATGGTGCTGACGGACTCTATGACGTTTGTCTCCCAGGATACAACAGTCTACATTCATCAGTAGCAGCACTTCAAACTCGTGAATACGACGAACCTCCTCCGTGTAATACTCGCTCTGACTCAAAAAATGCATCTATACTATATAAATAATGAATTGGGTGCAATTCGAAACAAATGGCTCGGACCAAATTTAATATGGCTCGATGAAATTTGATTAGGGTCTAAGTGGCTCGGACCACTTGACCTATGGTTTGAACCCACTTGGGTTAGGTTCAAGTCTAGAGAGAGAGAGAGAAGGAAATGAATTGAACGAATTGCAAATGGCAGCCCAATAGGTGTATTTATAGAAATATGTGTTTTTTCGGATTGGATGTGTCTCTTCATCATTGGACACAACCATTTATATGTGTCTCTTCATCATTGGACACAAACATTTATATGTGTCTCTTCATCAATCGACACAACTATTTATATGTGTCTCTTCATCATTCAACACAATTATTTATATGTGTCTCTTCGTCAGTATTGGACACAACCATTTATATGTCTCTTCATCACTGGACACAACTATCTATATAGATTGCAATGGTTCACATGGTGTCTGTTCACTACTAGATACATCCACTCCAATAGGTTGCAATGGTTTATATTGAATAGGTTATGTCTGTTCGATTGTACCTTTTCAACAAATGCACCCACTCACACATGTATTGTAATCTAACACATCCTTACAATTTATTAACCGTTTCTAACCAATCCTCAACCACATTAAACATTAAAAATACGGTAAATAATTAGTAGAGGTTATGTTAAATAACTTGAATTTTGGACTTTGTATGTAACCTTTACACTAATATTCATGTTGTAGTCTAACGTGATACACATAGGCACCCAAGTATAAATTAGTTGCAGATAAGTTTCATTCACACTTTAAACACTAGTTTTCAGAACTAGTTTCCAACAAGTATATCACACCAGGACAGAAGAAAAGGGAAGTGAGGAATGCCAAAGAAGTTTTGAAGAATTGAAGAAAAGGTCAACATCAGCTCCAGTGTTAACTATTATGGGTGGTGGTGAAAGTTTTGTGATTTATACTGATGCTTCACTTCAAGGTATGGGGTGTGTTTTGATGCAGAATGGAAAGGTATTTGCATATGCCTCTAGACAATTGAAGAATCACGAATTGGATTATCTTACACATGACTTGGAGTTAGCTGTTATTGTTTTTGCTTTGAAGTTGTAGAGGCATTATCTGTATGGTGAGATTTATGAAATATTCACTGATCATCAGAGTTTGAAGTATTTTTTTACACAGAATGATTTAAACTTGAGACAGAGGCATTGGATGGAGTTAATCAAAGATTATGATTGTAATATTCATCATCATCCTGGAAAAGCCAATGTAGCAGTAGATGCTTTGAGTAGGAAGTCTTCAGAGAGACTATCTTGTGTACAGTGTGCACAGGTGGCAAATATTATGAAGTTGAGATTGATGGGAGTTGAATTGACAGTTGCTAATAAAGGAACATTGTTTGCTCATGTTACGGTGAGACCTTTGTTGCTTGATCGAATTAAGGAGTTACAAATTCATGATGTATCTTGGGTAAGAAAAGAAGGTATGTAAACTGAATTTACAGTTATGGATGATGGGACTTTGTATTTTAAAAGTCGAATTTGTGTTCTGAAAGATGTTTCTTTGAAGAAAGATATTTTAGATGAAGCCCACAGTGTTGGGAACTTTAAGAAGGATTTTCAAATAAAGATCTTGAGTTGATCATGTGTAAAGACAAGTTCTATGCATGAAGAACATGATGATCCATTCATCTTCCGAAAAAAACCATGATGATCCATTCAATTAGAGATATAAAACTTACATCAATATTTGAGTAAACCTTAAATCTCTCATCTAAAGTGAATGTTCTCACTTATTGTAGATCCTTTTACTAGATGTCTCCTCCTTGTATCTCTATCTTGTTGATAATGATCTTACCTTTAGGAATCACCCATAAACCTCCATGAATGACCTTGGAGAGCTTAGCTAATGAGAACACTAACCCTAAAATCTTAAAGAGAGAAAATATTTTCTTATCTTCCAAAAATATTGCACAAAGGCGTAATCTAAAATATACATGGACCCCATGTATATATAGGCGCAATAAAAATAATAATTGAAGACAATATATTTTTCTCAATCTCTAAAATTCATGTGATATCTCAAATCTAATGGCCTCCAATATCAAGTTGGGCTATGACTGAGAATCCGTTGGGCTTATTATTTTCTTGGCTATAATGAATTAATAATTGACTCGATCTTTTTAATTGTTCTTGCATATATTTCATTTATTCTACTTTTACTGATTTACTTCAATTTTTGTCTTATGTGAATTAATACAATTGTAATTTGAATCAAGTCATTGAGTGATATTTCGTCAAAATATTTATGATTAGAGTTTTGACTACAACTATATAGAATTTGAGATTTATTATAGGGGTGATAAATATTATTTAATTCTATTTAGAAATGAGTATAATATGATTACAATTTTATTCAGACAAAGAAAATGAGCAGTCAACTTCGACAGTACCAAGGGATAAGTAAATAATTTGGGAAGTGACCGAGGTGAGTGTACTCACTAGAAGTTTTACACTTGAATGTGTTAATTGAAGTATTGAAGATGTTTATGTGAAATGAATATGCTTATATAACTTGACTACATTATATAAGGTCCATACTCTGGAAGGAGAGTAATATATTATATAAGGTCCAAACTCTGGGTTGCCACTGCCATGTCTAGGGTCTTGGCTGTGAATGGCGAAAAGGAACAACAGAAAGTCTTTTGTATAAAATGTAATTATTGAAGGAGAACTTGGTAGTACAACTTGTAATTTGTTATGTCTTATTTTTATTTATAAATTGTTAAGCAGGCACTCTGATGTATGATGATGTCACCTATGTTTGATGTTAGTGAAGATGGTTAGATGCATTCTAATTGTTCAATTTATTAATTAATGTAAATTGGGTTGGGGTGCGTCATTACTAGTAAAATTGTGTTAGAAATGTCCGAGAAGTGTTGGCTAAGTGTCCGAAAAGTGTCAACGAAGTGTCCAAAATAATAAAATTAATTTTTATTTTTGGATATGTATATAAAGTGTCAAACACGTATATGAGGAGTGTCCGTCTTCGACACGGATACAATTCCTTCGTAGAAGTATAGGTGTGATCTAATATAGATAAATTTTGATAGGAAATTTTGACTATATAATCTTTATATAATTTTCTTTCAAAAGGTGAATTATAATATAAAATCCATAGCAAATGATGAATTATGTATCAAGAAGTTTCGAAAATTTTCATTAATTGGGATATTACGTAGCAAGTATTGGTGCTTTATTTTATTTTATTTTATTAAAACATAAAAAATAAAAATAAAAATTGCATTAATATGTGTTATTAGCTTTTCATTATTCTATTAAAGGTATAAGAAATTCTACAATACTCTCTGGTTATTGAAACACATGGTATCTCTTTCGATCAAAGCTTCCTCCTTTATATTTTAAGGGAATTGGTGAGGATTCAAGTGAGTGCCTATAAAAAAAATGATAGGTGTACAAGTTTTTTACTAATTAAAAAATAATAATCTTTTCATTTTTTTATGAGTTGTGATACTTAGGTAGAAAATTTTGACCGATTTATTAGACAGAATCTATGTGGCTTAAAAAGACAAATAATATTTAGCTGACTCATTATAAAGTACTCCCTCCGTTCCTAATTAGTAGTCTATTTTTCTCTTTTTACATGTCCCAAATTAGTCATTCTCTTTGAAAAGTCAAAGCATCTTTTCATTATATTTCCATCATTGTCCTTTATCTTTTTAAAAAAATTCAAACTTTATAACTATATATATTTAAATTAAAAAGGACAATTTGGTAATTTTAAAAGGGGACAATGCATTAATTGCA